AACAAAAGAATTTTAATCTCCTGCGAAATGGAAGCTGCATTCCGACGTACTGTAAGGGGTCTATTGACTAAAATCATTTCCACATTTCCTACCTTTATATGTTGCATTTACTATATACAAACAAGTGGACAACTGCACTATAGACCATTTGCAGGAATTGATCACGTGTCAATTTGCCCCATAGCAACAAGCCAGTGGTGGGCAAGCCAGTCACATATTCCTTGACAACAATAAGACTTTGAGTGGCAAAGCGTAGCGATACCAAGACTATAATGAAGTTTTTAACCTTTGTTCTGTTTCGTTTGACCCAATTCTCAGTATAAAGTTGAAAGAAGTGTTTTTTTATCGTTGGCGATAATTTTTATCATAAAGTTTGGCCGCAAAAAAGAGTTTTTTGTCTTTATTCTGGTCGCCGCGGACCGAATGTGCAATGCGGTGTGCAGTGCGTGTGCAATGGCGGAATTCTCAGGGATGTTTATGACTCATTCAAACCCCGACTTAACCTCAACCTTAACGTTATGAAATAAAATGGAAAAAGACCTCTTTACCATAGGCGTGATGTTTTACCATTTCAGACCACGTGTCTTTTTCTTGAGAAGAAGATTTTTTGTCAGAGTTGTAACAAGATTTATGTGTTTTCTCATGCATAAACATTAAACAAACAAATAACACTCTAGGGAATCGTATGAGATTTGAAATGGGGAAACTTTACGCCCAAGGTTAAGACTGAGGTCTATAAAACAGTGGTTCTTCTCTTCTTCCACTGGATTTCAAATGGAATTAAGTCGATTGTTATGAAGCAGTTACTGAAAAAAATCAATTAAAATCGCTTTTTTTCCTGTTCAACTAGTTTGTTTATGGTAAAACAATGCTCCTCAGGACGTTTCCATGGCATTACATGTAAATCAGTCCTACTAAGTCGCGACAAGAGAGTATAAAGAGGTTTTGCACCATCACGTGACGGCAACCTATTAGATGGCAGGAACAATACAATCGTTTTACATGAGAAAGAATTCAATCCCGAGAGCAAAGAGATTTTATTGTTCTGCCATCTAACCACAGGCAGCCAAAACTGGATTATGTCGCCGGTACGTGATTGTGCAAAACCTCTATTCTCTTGGTCGCGAAGACGATTCAGCGCTCGCTTTTGGTCGCTTGCATCATAGGGTCATTCACTACCACTACCCTTGCACACTTTATTGAGAAGCCCTATAATCAGCTTCCGTCACAACAATTTTTTTTCACAAACAACTTAACATACCTGCTGCTTTACAATTTCGCTTTTCCTCATATGATCCAGAACAATCGGTTGCCGTTTGTTGGGTGAATGGATCCACACACTGACGCGTGCGTGTCTGGTCACAGACACAGGAAGACCATGACGTCCATTGGCTCCATCGTCCATCTATCAGAGCGAGCATTCACGTGTAATGAAAAGTGTTTCACTCTCTACTTACTCATTGAGGATAAGTTGACCGACGAAAAAGCTAGAAAAGAGCCCTCCTTCCCTCCCCCCATCAGCTTTCCATACACACAGACCACCACACTAATTTCTGGGGTGTTAGAGCAAACTATTGTAAAACGCATCAATGTATCAGAAAACAAATGCCTAAACACGTGTTAATGTTTCAAGGCGGGGGTAAAACGTAAATCGTCCCTACACACCACGTGTGTAAATATTTGTCATAATCAAGAAATAAGGGCTGATCTAGGGGTGGTAAAGGGGTGACTAGTCACCCCTTCAGCTCAAATTAATCTCAAATTTTAGTCATCCCCCCTTTTTCTCAAAATTCTTGTAAAACCTTTGTAATAGTCTGAACACCCTTCTGAAATTCCCAGTGGAACAACCCCTGGCTTTAGAGAAACAATTACTCACTACTACAGTTAAACGAGTTCCACGAGGCATCAGGTAGGCACACTTTACCCGCTGCACAAGGACTGGAAGAACAGGGATTCTGAAATCAACATACAAATTTGGAAATTTGACTTCCAACATATTTTCAAGATATTTCAATAATCTCAACTCGATCAATTTTTCCAGTGTGAACATCAACCTCATTCTTGGTTCAACGTTTTCCCATTACAGACCGCGTGTCATTCCAAAGAGTATACTTTCTTAGTTTGAAGGTTACATACGAGAAGACACACGAATATGGATACAACTCAAACAAAGAATCTTATTCTGAAGAGAATGACAAGTGGTCTACGTAATGGGAGAACATTGAAACAAGAGGAATAAGCTATATAGATTCTTTGCAGCACGTCGAAATGCAGCTCAATTTAGAGGACATAACATTGGGTTTCCAATTCTCTGCAGATTGAAATTCTTTTGTTTTGTCCTCCAAATTGAGCTGCCTTGACGTCACATCCAAGGGGTCTATTGTTGGATGCTGTTGGGAGTGTATGCTCGAAGTCGTGACTAAAACGTTTCACACACTCCAAATCCTGGCCGCGCCGTCCTGTAAAATGAGACCCACCTTAAAAGTGCAGAATTCAAATCCATCTTTCGCCACCACATCCAGATAGTCTAGCACATTGTCAGCATCGTTCAGATCACACGATCTCGTCTCTCCTTCTATTGGGCCCATGTTGTATGACATACAATTGGCTTCCATAAAACACATCTGTGGGCATGTTGCTGTACTAGGTGAGACTTGGAGAGTCTTGATCACATGACCAGAGAGGGCCTTGTTTTGGACGCAACCGAAAAACACCATTGATTTGCAGTCGTCTTGACCTGTTGGAAAACGGAAGAATAAAACTGAATTTACGCTGTTGATTTTGATACATGACATGATAAATATCAGCGAATCATTTGCTAAGCCAAGCGACATATCTCTAAGTTTTACATCCATTTATAAAATAAGTGTTACACAATTAATATCGCATTCTGATGGTTGGGAGAGCGAGCTATATGAGAGCACAAAGAACGCGCGCACACTCTCTTTAACAATTATTTGCCGAAGGCGAAGTGAATATCGGGGAATAATAACCGAAACGAAGTTGAAGATATTATTCCCGATGTTCACTGAGCCTGAGGTAAATAATCGTTTTAGAATAAATATACAGGTGATTCTTTCAAAAAAAAAGAAGAAAGAAGAAAAAAAAAAAAAAAAAAAAAAAAAAAAGAAGATAAAAGACACATATGTTTCCGTATAGATTGTGTTTATTAAGAAAGTGTCATGATCAGTAGGAGTGATCGCTTCCACGAGAGAGGAAAAGCATTAAAGCATCTAAAATTAAACCTTTATGGTAGTCGCTTACTAAAGACATTAATATTGTTTATATGAAGAACAAAACGAGAATTTGAGAAGTTGGTTGCTCAAGGCAGGTCGTCCACCAGAGGTCGCTTACTAGGGATCTTAATAACAGGGTTTACTATGAAAACCAAAACGAGAATTTGAGAAGGTGGTCGTTCAAGGGAGATGGTCGGTTACCAGAGGTCGCTTACTAGAGATTTTAATAATAGTGTCTATGTGAAAAATATCTCGATTCTAATATTTTCAAAATTACACTAAAGAAAAAAGAAAATAAAACACCTGCTTTCCATGAGAGTTGTGCAAATTAATACGAGAAAAAGATTAGACTGTATTGTGGTGAAATGATTATTAACGTTAATTTGAATTTATTTACTACCACTTTTCAGTGATTCATTAACGAACATCGAAGCACAAAATTCCATTTAAAATGCTAGCGTTTTTTTCATTATATTTGTTACTATTATTCCTAGCTCTTTCCTCCTGTTTGTGGACTACATTAACTTCCATTGTTAAAAGCATGCACCAACATGGTCGCTACGTCTTTGACTTTCTTGGGAGTTCTTGCAACCATCAATAATTGATTTGCAAAGAAAAAACATTGCGCAAAGCTTCCGTTTGAATTCTGAATTGTATTCGTTTTCGCTTTCTCCCGAAAATTGAGTATTTAGTTGAGGTGTTTTCTTAGTATTTTCTTTTTGTATAAATTTCTGAAGTTCAAACACTACATTTTAAGTGTGACCGCACATAAATCAGCGGATGAACGCACAGCAAGCAACTGTTAACAGTCCGAGAAGTATATCTTTTTATCTGCGCGATATAGTGTTTAAAGCATACTTTATTTTAATTTGAGGGATGTATTGTCTTAACATGGTCGCTACGTCTTTGACTTTCTTGGGAGTGCTTGCGATCATCAATTTGCAAAGGAAAACTTTCCTAAAATCGCGCATTCAGTTGAGGTGACTTTTTATCTGCGCGATATAGTGTTTAAAGCATACTTTATCTTAATTTGAGAGACTCATTTTCTTAACTATTAAGAAATCATTGTTTTCATAACACAACCAAAACGTACCTAAACTCAGCATGCCTAGAAATGCTAAATATTTTATAACCTTGAGTTTTTTCTGAGCGCAAAGTTTAACTTTATGCATGACACGAAAATTATATTTATTATAATACATTCAACAAAATTACTCGATTCTGATTGGACAAGAGAAGTACAATTAAATCCCAAATTGTACTCTGTAGAGTCCCAATCAATTTTGTTGAGCGTATTATAAACAAAAAATTGCATAATCTTCTCGTACGATTCGGAATTGATAGGTACGAGGGATGTTTTGAAAGTTCTCAAATTGGACTAGCCTATCGACTCGTCCAATTTTGAAAACTTTCAAAACACCCTTCGTACCTATCAATTCCGAATCACGAATTGTACTCGAGCGATCGTGCGATCAGTTCCTATACTAATATTTTACAATGTTTATATTTTTTAAAATGCGTTAAAATGATCATGTTTTCATTTGGTAATTGCTAAAATTGTCTTTCAAAGTTAATCGAGTTGGAAATGGTGTCAGAAGTGGGAGAATTATATGCGTTGCTAAATTTTTGAACGTCCGAACGTCAGTTAAGGAAAGTATTTTTCCTCTACGGTATTGATCAATATGCATTCATCATTTTTGTCAGTTGAAGAAAAGAGGAAATAAAGACGATTTACGGGGCTAGTGTTTGACTTGTTAACTTAACGCTAAAGAAAGGATACGAAGTAGTAGGTAGTCCAGTGATAAGAGCATATTGGTGCTTGGTTTGACGAATGTTATAGGATCGACTCGCGTTTCAGTCTTGACTTGGTTTTGTTTGATGTGTTTTCCTCTTCATTTCGAGAGTTTTTCGCTCTGCACTCCCCACGACTAACTTTCTTAAATTTACTCAGTTTTTTCCTTCGAAGGTTGTGATTTTAGAATATTAGAAAGAAACTTAAGATCATGCTTATATATGCAAGTGAATGAAGAAACGCCAACACTGGAGACGATATGCTACATTAACATGTAAAAGTTGGATCTTAGGATAACGCAGTAAAAAAAAAAAACATTCTCAGTGGATTCTGGCAAAGGTTGCGGCAATTCTTAAAGAAAAGAAATATTACCTTTAACAAAGAAGACAGCACTAAAAACCATTGAAATCTGAAGAAATTCTGTCGCACCTCGCTTCATCCTCATGATGCTCGTAACTAAGTAAAGTTATTGGAGACGTAATAAAAAATATCTTAAAGATTTCTATTCTTAGAAGAACGTAGGGTATGTTCATTTTTGATTGGATCTAAGTAATTCTCATTTCGTCCAGAGCAAAATTGCGTATGTGTTTTACTGGTTACCATGGAGAAATTCTATAAATATTTTCTTTGTGCTGAACAGAAGAAACACTAGCAAAATTATTGGAAACCTTTTAATTGAATTTTTTCAATAACTCGATATCTTTTTAGTATGAAAAAACTGTTGCAATCATTTCGTGAATATTTTTGGGAGACCAAGATAATGTATTAATAAGTAAAGATAATATTCAAAAGAAAAAAGTTTTGAAAATTAAAGTTGGCATACTTAGGCAAAAGCATGTACATGATCATGCGCAGACTCAGGTCCTTGGAATGCGGTTGAAAGACTAGAATTAATACTGCACAAATAGTGTGCATGAGGTAACTAGAAAGGTTGATTTTTTAAATCTCGGCTCCAATTGTTAAGAGGAAGAAGGGCTCTTAAAGCGTAGGAAAACAAAGAATTAACATATCAAAAATTCCGACTGAGTTGACTGCGTTCCCCGAAAGAGTTTAGGTCAATTATTTTAGGTTAGCATTTTCCTAGCAGGGACAGAGTACAATGTAGATTTATCGTGTTGATTGAACCTATACAATTCCATCATGAGTTCAACTAGTAGCATTTACGATCAATTTAAAGAATGAAAAATTAATATTTCATGGATTCTCTTCGGGCAGAATCATGGAAAATGGTAATAAAAATATGATGTTGAATCCTCAATTCTGATTGGTTGTCCTTGATTTTGTTCAACAAACTCAAGGTCAACTCAGCTGGATTGTAATACTGCATTCAACAAGAACAGATTTCATGTGAGCAGGTGCAAAAATCACTAAATCACACTACCGTTGATTGAGCACTAATTAATCTATCTTGCTCCAGTTGGACCCCTGCACACGTTCAGTGTTTAATCAGTAGGCTATTGTTCAAAAGAAAGTCCCTAGCACCGTCTGCCTTTGCGGAAACGACTGGGACAGGTATCGAGGCTGATAGCACCGATACTGCTGTCTTCAATAGTAGACTTCTACGAGGAATCTATACCAATGGGAGTACAATTTTGCCGATAATAAAACAGTTTAGTTTGTGAAATAGAACTGGAAATGTCTGCACAGGCCTATTCTCCTCCTTTATAGAAAAATTACACGGAACACTGAACGCATATATGTAAGCTGGGTTAATCATCATGTTCGGGGATTAAGCACTAAAACGCTTGCAGTGTTGGTCCGGTCAGGATTCGAACCACGATCCCCCGCTCAACAGACCTGTAGAAGCTATTATCGATTGCTTACTGTGCATGTACATCACGAAATTTTTGCGAGATTTCGAAAGCATCGCCTTAGGACAGCTTTAATAAGTCCCCCGCAAGAACAGCCACAGTAGGCCAAGTTGGCGAGGCTTTATGTTTTGGTTTCTATATATATCTGAATAGCCAGAAAAGTCAATTGAGCCTCAAGGGAAAAAACCTAAAGGACTTTTGGCGCGCTGAGTCTAAGTTTCAAAATAAATGAAAACCATTGTTCCTGCTTTTGCTTTTTTCTCCGAGTACAAAATTTCAAGTGACCTTCTTCTGGTTGATGACAAATGAGGAAACCTTCCTTTTTTTCCCTATTACCAAAACCACGTAAAACCCACGTAAATTCACCCGACCCTCCGTCCCTCCGTCCCTCCGTCCCTCCGTCCCTCCGTCCCTCCGTCCCTCCGTCCCTCCNCGTCCCTCCGTCCCTCCGTCCCTCCGTCCCTCCGTCCCTCCGTCCCTCCGTCCCTCCGCCATTAAGGATAACCGGTCCTGGTGCATTCTGGTCTAGCCTTTTGCTCATCATGCCTTATATGGTGTTGTTTATACCGAACCTAGAACACAATGCATCCTGTTTACCGAACTCAGAAAAGTCATAAGGGTACCCTTCAAACATTGAAAAATGAGTGGCAACTTGAGGAACGTTATCTCAGGAAAAGAATTGGCCTAATGCCTACTCCATATCTTCAAAAACACAACCTTCTTACCTAGTATTTGTGTATCAAGGTTAACAGAAATAGATCATGTCGGAAGAGTGCCAGATAAAACATGGAACGTTGGCCTTACAGCTTATGGCAAGCAGTCAATCCAATCGTGATGTTCGAATTATGAACTTTATACGAAAACCAACTATTATGGAAGAAGAACTTTTCAAATGGGATGGGGAGATAGTGAATCAGTGTCACAAAAGGTCAAGGAGTCCAGAGACTGAATTCAGATATAGGAATATAAAATTATAAGGGGGAAGTAACCTCCGCACCCTTCCCTAGTGGTTTGCTAAGGACAAAAAGTGTGGATTATAGCTATGATTAATTGATCATTTCTTGGCCCACTAAAATTCTCCACTTAAAAGACTGGACCGAGAAAAAATTGGCGCGCCTTTTTATAGAAATATTTTGGCGGGAAAACAACAAAGGTTACTAAACGTCCCTTTTGTTAACTAAAAACAATATGTTACTTGCATATGTAGTATTTGTTTACCGGTAACAAACACTAGCCAGATCTACTCTGGATTTGAGACTAAGATTTTATGAATATAATTTACACTGTCATTTCGCTACTCATATTCGGCCGTGACCATGTACTTTCATTGAATTTTGATTTTTTCTGGGATTTTTTATTATCTTTTAACCACATTTTTAACGCTTTTAGTTGCGTCCTTGATAAGCCCAATCATTGTTATTTTTAGCAGGTGCTCTACGAGCTCTTGAACCTTCAGTTGAGATTTTGTATTAAAATAACTTCAACGATTTTTTTCGTTGGGCGTCCTTCTCTCTATAAAAATAATTTTTCTCACCTTTCTGGCCCAATCTCGGGAGTAAATGATTCGAAATAGTGAAATAGTAAAAATAGTATTTTTTTTGGCGGCATCGTTGAGCCCGTGGCACAAAGTTCATCTTCAAATATGTTTATTATTATGTTAATTACGTACCAGCACGATTACAAAATCTTTTTTCGTGAATAACAAATAGATAGTACGTGTCTTATTTATCTTCTTGAACAAATAGATGTAGAAAGTGATACTGAAGATATTATTATGGGAAATTCATTGACTCAGACAAGTAAGATTTGATGTGGTCGGCACGGTCTTACAGCATGGCCCTTTTGAACTTTTGTATTATTAAACCCCTTTGTTTTGGGCTGTCAGAAAACATGTCACAAAGGCGAATTGTTTGTGACTAACATGACCACCGCGAGATCTCATTGGCCCGGGCGTGGCAGAGAATGCAAAACATGCAAATTACAATCAATCTTAACTGGGGAGCACTCAGATGCAACATTTAAACAACAACGAGAGACGAGCCCTAGACGGGGAACAGTAACGGGCACCTCGAAGATGCATACGTGCAATATGGACCAATTTAACCCTAAAAAAGGTAACAGTCTTGAACATTGAAGGCTTGTGCTAGGTTTGGTGACGTCACTTGAAGCAGAGCGAATAATCACATGTACAGAACAGTCCAATCAGAGGCTGTAATTAGTATTCGTCAGAGTGACACATGTCACGGGGTCACGTGATCTTGTAACACCGGTGGCACGTGGACTTGGCTTTGGTCCTGAAACTTTCTACATTGAACCAAGAATTTCAACTACTACGACCCTAATTTCAGCATAGCAACACTCGACTTTACCTTGTCTGTTAGTGGATGCTGTTTTTAAACTTTTTCTTTAGTCGCTCACGAGCTTTGTGTGTGTGCTGACGTATTTTGATGTTTTTTTGTCGCATTTATCCAGGTGAGGTGCTTGCTTGGTTTGCGAAGGAAAGGACGAGTTGTACAGTGAATGGAGTTAGAGCGATAGAGCTGTTTAGTGTAAGTAAACTTACTTCTACCGCGTAAGTCCAACACCCCAGCTCTAGAAGTCTCCATTTTTGCCAGGAAAACTGTCAACAGCAAGATAGGAGTCTCCGTATTTGGTTATTTTGGAGATAAAGCGATACGCATGCAGGACAATCTTTCATGTTCGTCATAGTAAACCTTGGAGTAAGACGGCTTCGGTAGTCAAGATCAAGTTCACCCGCATCGTATCTTCGCCTGTGGTGGTCTTCAAAGCTCTTGTGTGTTCCTGTTGACTCGATTTAGTATTTATCTATATCTTTGTCACACATGGGGATTTGCTGTTTGCAAGTTACTTTTAAAAGCAGTTGCGTGCAAGACGAAGCCATGCACGGCTTCGTTATAACAGAGCCTTCGCCTTGAGCCGCTATCTCGAAGTAGACGAGGCTCAAATTCCTAACACGATTTTCACCTTAGAAAAATCCATTCTCATCAAGCTAAGATAGTCTTGAACTACATTTGCAGTCGTACTTAGTTCTGCTGCGTAGAGTTTTTGTATACGCAATTTTACAACGCTTATGAAATTCCTTCCACAGGTATGACTGCAGTTCGCCATAGTTGTAGTAGTAGAGTAGTTGTAGAGCTGAATTCCCTTATTCAAGATACGTGACCATTTACGTAAGTATGCGACGTAAAACATGCGTAATGTCTGCAAATGAGGTATTTTTGGTGACTGAAAGGAGTTCAGCCGTAAAAAGATTCGTTTCTAGGGAAGGTTGTGGTTTCCCCTAAGCCCGCACACAGTGAAACGCTTCGCCTTCATCAACTGCCTAGTTTGAACTATTTAACAAAGTTTTAATGTTGCTTTTGGTTTGTTTACATTTCCCTGCACGTTGAAGTCGCTAAATTGTTCTTTGTCCATTTACTGGTATTAGATTTCTAAGATTTTTGGAACGAATTCAAGAAATGATATCTTCGTCGAGGCTCTATATTCTCGTTACAGTTCGTTATCCAAATCATGGTCATTCAAGTAAAACTCGTTTGAATTAACTTTCAATCTCATTTGGAAAAACAATAACGTAGGAAAGACACATATTCAAAAAAACAATTGGTATTTTTAAGTCTAAGGTTTTGAAAATACGATTTTTTGTCGATTATTTTAATACTCTGGTGATGGTAGAAGGTAACGCAAGTGACGATAAAATGCTTTCTCGGAATTTCAGATGCTGGGAAGTTCGTAGGCGTGTTCCCTCCTTTTCAAAATATAGTTTAACATTTCAGTTTACAATCAACTAAACACGATTCTCGGGCTTTCATTTTGGGTAATGTATCCTGAATTGTTTCTTATTTGCTCAGTAATTACCCTATAGTAGTAACAATATGTATATTATTACCAAAAAACGTCTTCAACAGTAAGGGAAGGATTGGTTTGGTACAAAAAATGGTTTCCTTCATGCGAGCTTTCCAAAATTTAGGTTTTGAATTTTCTTTCCTTTGTATTGCTGTGTTACGTTTTCTTTTCAAGTAAAACTCTTAAATTTTGACTTAGAATTGTAAAAGATGAGATATTTTGTATTTTTAAGATGCCTGCCTATACTGTACCAATTATTGGTAGTTAGTATTCCAGTTTTTCCATCATCTTTTTAAAGGAAAGAGATCTTCAACATAAAATTGAAGAATTCTACTTCATTATCACTATTAGTACCTCTCAAATTTCATGTGAAATGTACAAGTTTTCTTGAAATCTACACAGTGGAACATGACATGTACAAACCAAATTACATTTAATTCTTACAGGTAGGAATATAAGGTATATTCATAATTTGTTGGTGTATGCTGATGATTTGGACAAATTGAAGTTATACGTATCCTATCTAGCTAAATTTCTATTTTCTTGTTGATTCTATCAGCATTAAAATGATGTTTTTGAATAAGTTTAGCCATTGTGAATTTCATTGGAGTATTATGCTGAACTTTGCTCAATTGGTTGAAATATAACAAATATGCCGTGTTAAAAACGTGATATTTTTAGGAAAAAAATTGGCAATGTAATTATAATCATCGAAGTGATAATTTCTTAACTGACTTCTGATTCTTCTTAGATAAGTGAGCATGAGAAAGGTCGTCATTTGTATATTTTTCGTCTGTAGAAGTTTTAACCAAATTATTTTACCCGGTTCATGACGTCTAAGTTAGCCAATGCATTTGCAACAACTTAGTCTTTAAATCATTTTAGTTACAGCAGACTGTGTATCCACAGTAACGTTTTTTGACAATCTATTAGCTTCTATTTATAGCATGCACGTGGCTAATGCGGGTTTTCCCTGATTTTTTTACAGGTGAATAGGTTGTGTGATGGACTTTGAAGGACACAATGATGCTGAAGGGTAAGTAGACAATTCACTTTGTATATGTAGTCTTATTTTAAAGAAATGTTTCAATTTTTTATGATTTGCATTTATGAAAGACTAAACATTCGGCTTCATTATTTTCATACTATCCCCAACAGTGACTGAAGGATTTTGCCATACTAGAGACAAAACTGTTCATCCTGGGTGTCTAGCAATAGTTAAATAGTCAAAGAATTGATTTTGTTGCTAGTCTTAAACCCTAAAGTCGGTCGTAATGTGAACCTATTTAATTCAAAGCTACTCGCAAGGTTTAATCAGAACACTAAGGTATAAGATCGCGAAGTTTATTCTAGACGTAAAGAAGCAGACTCGCTTTTTTTTCCTGACCTCTGTCAAAGGCCGCTGAGCTTGCGACAAAATTAAGCAAAAGTCAGACAGTGTTTATCAAACTAACAATAGATTTTTTACAAGGACATAAGGACTATATTGTTTTGTGACTAGACTGAAGTTCAATATTGAGAAATGTGAAACTAATTTGCTCTCATTGATTTAGTAGGACACTTACATGTTAATCGTACATCATCTCTTTCAAGAATTAAGATATTCTTTTGTATTGACTCACTTGAAATTTTTTTGAGTTGACAAATTTTCTGTAATTTAATCCATGCGTTTGGGGTGAAATAAAGTCTGGTTTTACAATATTTTTAGTAGTAGTAGCGGCGAATTTAACCCCTTATAGAACCATATCGCTGCCTGGACATGAAGGTTAACAATCAATCCACTTGCAAGCACCGATATTGTATCAATGTGCAATCTATACACTATGTTTGCTTTTTTTTTTTGATTTATAGGCCAGTTCCTGGTTTACCAGGCATGCAGTTTGCCGAAGGTGGCATGCATCCAGAGGTATAGTATATATGTCACTTCTGTGTCTTACGATATTAGCAAGACAGGTAGAGCAGTATGTTTTGATGAATGGATGTTTGACATTGTCTGATGGTACATATATACATTAAATGGATACAAAGGAACCTGTGGTTGTTTATATGCTATTTTATGTTAATTATATGTACCATAGATTTATTAAGTTATGTCTGTCAGGTATAATCATACTGCGCCAGTCTAGTGCCGAATGAAAGAAAATTGACCCTGTCAGCCAATGGTAGCGCATGTAATGATGTAATTGTTTCGGTAAAACTTAGTGTTTCTTGTCATTTCCAGTTTATGCTTTTGCGTAAGCCATCACATTTTGTAATGAAAAAGGGAATGCTATTTTTAATTGCAAACTAAATATTTTAAAAGTATTTTTTATGTGTAGTACCATATTTAGATTTTCTTCCATCTACCAGACATTTCAATTTTCAGTCATTTCAAAGTGTTGTATAATGTTTAGCAGGATAAACCTGAACTAAAAAATAAAATTAAACTAAAAAAAGAAATAAAAAGAAAAAATGGAAAAGTAAAGATCGTTTAAAAATGAATGAAAGTTCTTGGAAAAAAGGATCTTTTATGGATTATAGGGATACTTACATGTGATGTTTACTGGCAAAAACATTGTAAAATGCCAGCCATTTTCACAAAGCTCATCACAAGTTGCTTCGTCTCCCCATCTAATCGATCTCTGGTTGTTATGTAACATTTCATATTTCACATGATGTATGGCTATAAAAAAACCTTACATAAATACTGTTTCTAACCTTTATCTTAAAACAATTTGAAATTTTCTATATACTTTAATTTTCCCAAGGCCCTATGTGTCATTTAGGCATGAGGAGATAGGTACAGGTACTTTAATTCTTATTGAAATTCAGTATTCTATTTTTCAATAGAGGATTTTTCAGATTAATGATTATGACAATATTATGTATTAATATACGATATACAAAATGCATAGTTTTGAACATGATTAAAAGATTTTAAGAAGTACAGGTTAAACAATAACAATAACTTTAAATATATTAGTTAATTTTATTAGCAAAGCAATAGTATATACAATATTTATGATATTTTTATAATAATCAACATGTTAAAAACTTAAAATATCAGTGATACACTAATAGGTAGTGTATCGTAAATATTTAGAGTTTTTTTATGGGATTCTGCTTATTTGAATTTCTTAGTCATTATTAGTTTCTTTGATTTCTTATTTATTTGTTTTGATTTAAAAGGACGCTGTTGACTTCTGGTGTTTTTGTATTTGGAAACTTAAGGAGTGAATATTGGATTTTTGTACCTATAGGTACTTATGCAAAGTAATGTTAGACATCCAAAGTTGTGTTTTGAATGGATTTTCAATATCGCTGTTACTTGATAATATAGCAAATGGTGGTATCTTCATTTTTTTTCGAGAATCACTATCTAATGTAAAGACTTCTAGTTGAAGGAAAACAGACTAGATTATGAAACAGCTTTTCATTGTTGAAATTTATCTCCAATTATGTGAGTTTCCTTCCACAACTTCCTGTTTCTGTGCTCTTTGCCCCAACTCCCTACAAAGCCACCACAAATGAATCAAAATTGCTCACATTTCAAGGTTTCTGTCTAACATGCATTTGTACCATCTTCGAGTCACCATAAGACTTTTAAAATTATTGAAGTCAAAGAAATTTATATAAAGATTAGAAATCTTGGCAAAGTAAAAAGCATTAAGTGCTTCTACTAAAAATACCTCTGAGATAAACTGACGTATAGTAATAACATATAGTAATCTGAACCTTGTTCTAGTCTTGTTTTTAATGACCCCTGTATTGTAGACGTCTGAGTTTTTATGGTCTAGAACCACACATGTAATTCTATGGATTATGGTCAACCATAGTTAACCGTAGTAAATCGTAGTAAACCTTTAGAAACGTAGTATTTAGAACACGAGGTATGAATCATTAACACTTTATCTAAATCTGTATTCACTTAATTTTGTCCCCTGTATTGAGATGCATTGAGCTATTCTGTTTGAGTTGAACTATGACTACTCCTTGAAAGGCGAGGAGAAAGACCTGGTTCAGCAATGGTCGGAGAATATGATTTTTATTTTTTTTTCTTGTGCATCCTATCTGATTTGACTTGTCAAGGATTTTTATAATGTATATAGTACATGTAGTTAACTTTATTTTAACTAGCTGCTGCAGGAAAAAATGGTGATATTTAAAGTGCTAATATTTTTGTCTTGATGTACTGTTAAAGTATTTTATTTCTTTCAAGGTTTTATACAGTTCTAAGTAATGTTTTTTAATACCCTTCTTAACATAACTCTGTCATAATGGTATTTGAACCATACCACACTAGTATTAGTATTGTCAATATCAAGGTTTTTTAGTTTAGGAGAAAATTAGGACTAGGACTAGTAGCATTGTTACCATAATTATACCATACCATATTAGTGTATAATTCTCAATCCTATATTGTGAGGTTATTTTTTAGTTCTGGAATAAGAAAAAACTTGCTTTCCTGAAGGAATTGTTATTAGCATTTTTCCAATTTTATCTGTGAAATCTATACAAGATCATTACATTTTACCAGGGTTAGTCTTCTGCAGATTATAACATTTGAGTACATGTCCAAGAAGCCATTTACACTTCAATGTAAAATCCTTTTCTAATATTTTGTTATTCCATCAAATTTAGGAAAATCGTAGATTATTTTTTTAAATGTTGCCCATAATCTATAATTAATCACGTGCATGACTCTTAGCAAAAAGAAGAGACATTTAATGTAATGCAGCTTCTTAGGCCAAACAAAAAATTAAGTGTGTTTCCTGTTGCGTGACTTACCCTAATTGTCTTGGTGATTTTTGCCGACCCTAATATTTTTTGAATTCCCAAGTGCACCACAGGGTACCCAGTAAGCTAATTTCCACTGTTGTATCCAGTAAAAAATAAATAAAAAAATCCGACCTACCGACCCCAATTATTTTTCTCATGCAACAGGAAACACACTTATTTTTTTGGCCTTAGTATAATTTAAAAAGTGCTAATACTTTGCACAGAGGATCAATAATTTTACATACAGTACATGCTATTTGTTTAGTACCAATAATGCCATTAGCAGTGATAATCCCATTTACTGGAATATTTAGGCTACATTAGCTAAAACATAACCTGCTGGGTCTAACCAAGGGTAGTTCATGAAATATTCAAAGATAGAGAAAGAGCACATGGCACCAGCTATTTATTTTACCAAAAGACTAATTTATTCGACAAGCAAAAAGTCAATCATTTTTTTCTTATGGCAAGGGTAGGTAACTGATAACTTGTAGTGAGGTTATTTTTATAATGCTTATTAGTTAAGTTGTTTGATTTTAATCAGATAAGAGACGATTAGTACATGTTCTTTGATATTTAGTCTGTCTTTCTTGCTGCTGATCCACTGCTAACTTGAATCACCTTAACACTACTATAACTTCCTGTCATTTGTCATTTTAACATTTAAAAAAAATCTATTATTCTAGATTATATACACCACTTTCATTCAATTTTCTATATTCAGACATTTTTGTGTGTGATGGTTGTTTCCTAGCAGTGTATTTATACGTATTAGCATAAACAGGAATAATCAATATCTGTGTGCCACATAGTATTTAGTGTAAGTAACAAAATGCCTTCCAAAGTTTTATTGAAAAGGATTCTTAAAAAACCATTTAAGGATTATCTGAAGGTAAATTATTAACAGTAGAGGAAGTTTTTTCTCCCTTAAGCTGTAACTGTTACTTAAAAGATTTAAAAGACTCATACATCCAAACAGTTACTAAACTTGTTGTCTATCAGGTTTTGCATCTTTTCCAAATCATAGTACATAACTGTACGCTACATACAATATTTTTTCTTCTTACCTAATGAAGTCTTGTTTAACTTCAAAGATGCATGAAGCTTGACCTATGGATTCTCCCTCCAATTTTTATGTGTATCATGGCTGAGTTGTTTTCCTTGACTCCATTGATTGCTTATACTATTATAAATAGTTGTTGTTTGTCCATGCTATTTCCATACAATGTTTAACAATTGGAACTTATTTGAAAATATGATGTAATATAATTATTTTAAGTTAATACTGTAGATGACTTGATCCTGAATCTGGTGGTTAGTGTTATATCTGACAGACTGACAAAACGTAGAATTAAATATTGACTCCCATCAATATAATAAATAGGGATTCCATTGATATTTACAATAGTAGCCAAAACTATATGATAGCATATTGTTTTGTATAATTTTGAATACTATTTTCCTTATAGTCATTAACTCAGACTGTCTAATTGGGCTGTCTAATCGAGTTACCATTTAAGAATTTTTGTATTTTTACTCTCATCATGTAGCATAATTTCCTTAAGTTTTCTGATGTTGATGAAATCACCAAAGCATTATGATTCATTCTGCATTTAATTTGATACCAAGACATTTTGTCTCCAAATTTAAGTCAACCACTTGGGATTGTCTCAAGTAGCAAACCTTTTACAGTATTTTGTTTACCTTTTGATAAACATACTGTCTTAAAGTGCTATATAATGAATAGAGGATATTACATGGGCGCGCGGAGATACGAAATTTATCTTCGAGTGTTGAAAAGATCTCTCACGAGTGAGAGATTTTCAGCAAGAGAAGATAAAATTCGTATCTCCAAGCAGCCATGTAATATTCTGTTTATTATATAATTATCAATGAAGTATGTTTTGGCTTTTTCAGGCAATTCTTTCTGTGTATTTTTGCCGAATAGCCATCGCAATGGTGTTATCTTCACACGTGAAAATAACATGTTATTTTCACGTGTGAAGATATCAATTTTTCGACAGAAAGGAAAGTAGATATTTCATTTGTAATTATATAATAATAATGTTTATTTGTTGATAATTTGATATTCACATGGTTTGTATCCAGCTATTCTGCTACCAGTGGCTATGCAGATATGCCTAGGAATCAATGTTGTTTCACTTAGATGCAAGGTAGAATTGTAGACAAGGTTATATTTTGTTTTACTTTTTGCCAGTCTAATAACAAAACGAATCGCAAAACAAGTGAAAACATACTGTAAATGGGGGGGGGGNGGGGGGGGGAATTAATTATCTTTCTAAAGTCAGTAAATGGACCTCAGCTAATTTTCTCTGCCCGTATCTTAAGGACCTTGTGCACAGTTTTTTTCCAATCCAGACCTCCTGCTGGTGCATACCTATAAACTCTTTTATAGAGCTGGACAGCATTAGAAATACATAACAATGGCAATGCAAACTTAAGAGGATGGGTTCTTTAAAGTTGTATTCCTTATTCAGACACAGAGCAGAAAAATTGCGTGAATACGGCTACAAAACTTTGCAACTTGTCTCATAGCATTGTTGCATTGCAAGTTGGAGAGCAAATGTTGGTTATACCATAAACCCACTCACATGCAATAATTTTTCTCTCTTCGAACAGAATAAAGAAGTTTTTTAACAGTTGGTTAACCACATTTTGTCTTTGTTGTAACAGTTTGCATATATGACCCCAGAGGAAGGCAGGCCAGATGTACCAGGCCAACAAGGACCAATAGATGATGGTAGAGAACAAAGGAATGGCAAACCAAAGTATAGAGGAGGCAGGGGTGGAAGGCCCATGAAAGATAATGACTACTCCATAAGGTATGCTATGTACTGATATAGTGCCTCATAATCTTTATGCAGATAAATGTAGTGCAGTTGAAGAAAGCCTTAGTACATGCGGGATGTACCATTCACTCCAGTAAGGTTGTTTTGACTTTTGTCTTTGATTTAAAAAGAAAAATCAGACCACTACTAGGAAAGTAAAATAAATAACATAAAATGAATCTCTTTATTTAAGTGGCTAGTCATTCTAGCAGTTTCACACTTATCAGGGACACTTTTCACTTACTCACACACACTACCACCACATACAATGTTAGTTATTCATTTGTCTTACGATTGAGGGTCATTTGTAAAAGGGCCGTGACTTTTCAACTGCAAAGTAATAGTCTTCATCAGGTGATGGTGTAGACTAAAGAGTGGATACCAACAATAAGAACATACTCTGGACAGAGACGCAACAACCAAACAGCCAATCTCAGCATGAACTGACCAACAAATCACAGCACAGATGTTCTGATAAGATAGTGCTATATAACAGACACATCATTCAGTCTACACCATCGCCTGATAAGACTAGCAGTTTGCAGTTAAAACAATGCAATCCTTCTATGAATGCCCCTTAGTCGCACGACAAATAAATAAGTATCATTTATTACATTCAGTGTTCTATGCACACAACACTCAACTTACATGTTGATTTTATGGAAGAAGGAAACTGTAGAACCCGGAGAAAACCCTCGTAACATTGGAGAGAACAAAGCATCAAACAAACTCAATTCACATGTAGTGTCTACAGGGCTCGAACCAGTGACCCAAACCTTTGGAACCACAGTGGTGAAAGACGACACATTAGCTGTGTACGCCACCCATGTTACTAAGCCTATCACACTTCATAAATGCTCCGTTAATTTGCATTACTTGCCTTGCTATTCTTTCTGATCAATAAAGAAAATTTTGCATTTTGATAGTGGTAGTAAAGTGAGTAGAGAGCATTGATTAAGGATACTGCTTTTGTCAAGAATTGAATTTATGCAGGAATCTTATGTTTTATAGAAAATTTTGGAGGTTTTCAAAATGTCAATTCCAGGAATTAGAGTTAGGATTCTCTTACTAAAGAAGTGTTATTTCTGTTGTACACTGTATACTATTACTACCAGGATCTTTTTCTAACTGTCTTCATAAATGCTATGTTGATTTGCATTATTTGCCTTGCCGTTCTCTATGATCAAAACAGAAAATTTGCAATGCATTTTGGTAGTGGCAGTAAAATGAGGCTATCATGCTTTTTGTCAAACATTTAAAAACCATTCATTTTCTTAAGGTGTGTTAAACTGACATGTATTGAAAAACAATAGGCCCTTTGCAGCTAAGCAATCACGTGTTGATTAATTCACTGGGTGAAATTTACTGGACTGCAAACAAACTTTCTACAACCTGTTTCGAGAAATCGTAATAAAAGTGCATTTCGTAACACACTGGATACACATGTTTTCATTCAGTTCTTTACGAGTAGCTAAAAAGAATCACCAATTTAATATAAAAACAAAAATTTTGCAGTCCAGTACAGACACGTGACCGTTAACTGCAAAGGGCCTATTCCCTGATTTATTTTAACTTGTCTCTTCCAAAAAGGATTCTCATTCCTTGCAAGATGGTTGGAGCAATAATTGGAACAAGTGGAAACAAAATAAAGAAAATAACAGAGGCAACGAATACTTCGTAAGTGGTGACAAAAGTAATTAATTTGTCTATGTCATGTGTTTAATATTAATTGTCTTGTTTGGTATTATGACAGTATTGACATTCACCGTAAAGAAGATAGAAGGGAAGTTGACAAGGTAAGAAGTTTAAATAGATCAATTTTTGTATGACTGGAAATTTGTAGTGCATGGCCCGATTGAGTGTGCTTTCAAGCATTTTCACTAGGTGAATACTGATTGTAGTGTATTGATTGGTTCAATGGAGGTTGACAATACCATACTTTGACATTGACAAGCACAACACAACCGTTAAAGTTCAAAGTATACATGTACGCTGTATCTGCCAATGGGCTGCAGACTCAGATGCTAATTGGTGCTATTATTTATTAAGTGGAATGTTATTACTAAATTGCCAGCATGTGTTATTTTGTATTCCTTTGGATGAACTGATTTAATTTTTGTTTCTCTCTTAGTTAGTAACAGTTCGTGGAGGCCCAGAAGAATGTAGCGTAGCTAATATGCAAATCCATAAACTCATGCGTGACGAAACTGATGAATCTCTAAGAAGGTAAGTGAACCTAAAAGATCTAAAAGATAACTGAAACACAGTAGTTGTAACATAAACCAAGATAAATGTGACACTCATTAACATTCTTGATTGAGTGTTTGTGAATGTTTAAGATGTTCTAAAGATATGAATGGAACTACTATTTGTTTTACTCATAGTAATGAGATAGAGATGAGGCTAGTGATCCATGACAGTCATGCTGGAAGAATAATTGGTAAGTCAAGCGAGTAACATGTTCCGATCTATCTATTATTATTATGACTATTCTCTTGCTGCTAAAAGTTTACATATGTATTTACATGTATACTTGTCCACAGGAAATGAATACTTGTTTTAGTTTTTTTTTTTTTTGGCCTGAATTTAATGGTGGTCCCGTCCCTAATTGTAACTAGAGACTTTAACAGAGGACCTTCAGGGTTTATCAGTTGAATTACTGTCAAGTGTTATCCTGTTTAAACAAAGTTATTTTATTTTATTTATTTTTTAATGTAGTAAAGTCGTGAAATGAAAAAAAACAACATTGTAGTTCATTTCAGTGATAAATATCTTTGTTTTTAAAGATATCTTTTTTGTTATTGCTTCGATTTAAAAAGATACTTTTATTTTATTAATTTTCAAAACTCCTGGCTTTTATGGTGATCTTAATTTTTAAAAAAATAATCAAATATACAGCTTTCCAGCACTGGTATCATTCCACTGAATCCTACCTTGTTACACCCTGTGTTTTTTAAACATTACAAGGCTTAAAATAATGGTCAATAAGTTTCTGGTCATGATCACCAGCCACATTACTTTTAGCTCATTTCTAGCTCAAATTAAATTTTACTGGTCAAAATGACCGTCAAGGCAAAGATTTGACTTTAACAATAATAGACCTTATTCGTGGTGTGACAATGTTTTCCCAATTCAGTGTGACAAACCTCCAGAGGATTCATTTTCTTTTGTTTTTACTCTTCGAAAAATTCATGAGTATCCCAAAGGATACGAAAGGAATAGCAATGATATCCCGACAAGTTTCAAAACAATAGCTCTTCATTCCCCCAGAGGTTTGTCACGCTGTATTGGGAAAACATTGTCACACTACGAATAAGGTGTATTGTTTGATGACTGGTCATTATTTGTAGCCTTAAATTGCCTGCTTTGTTCTGTGTTGTCTTTGGTTTGGCATTATGTGTTAATTAAAAACTTTATAATACACTCAACAAAATTACTTGATTCTGATTGGACAAGAGGAGTACAATTAAATTTGAAATTGTACTCTGTAGAGTCCAAATTAAGGTGCTCAATTTTGTTGAGCACCTAACATCTATTTCACCGCGGCCTGCTCTCAGTCTGACCTCTAGCTCAGCTGGTAGAGCATCGGTAGTACAATTCCGAAGGTCGTGGGTTCRATTCCCAGCGAGGTCGGAAATTAATTTTTCTGAATTTAATTCCAAGGGCTTTCGCCCGGAATAACCTCGTTCCCAGGCACTATAACTTATCTATATTTCTATATCTTCATGTATTGTGTGTGCTACGCGGTCCACATATTCTCATATAATTATATACATTATTTTATTATATAATTATTTTGGTTTTTGCAGGGAGAAAAGGCAATAATCTTAAAGGCATCATGGAAGAAACTGGAGCAACCTCTATTAAAGTTAGGTTAGTGTCCTATTGTAGATATCCATATCAGCTTTGTGTTAGTTCTTTCAAGACTTTTAGTCCCAGACAAAAATACTTTCCTATGAGAGCCCATATGTCATATTATTTTTATTGAAATTCTTATCCTGTAATGGAAAAAATATCTTTCAATATTCCAACCTTATGTTATTTCATATCATTACTCTGAAAGGCAAAAATGAAATGTTTTACCAAGTAATTTCAATTGTATCCTAAATAGTGATGGTTATATTGATGCTTGCAGTGGAAACACGGGAGACAGAATGGCACATTCATCCATGCTCAATGCTGGTGATCGCATAGTAAGCATTAAGTGTCTAATTAGAAAAGCAACAGAGGATCAACCAGAAGTTGAGGAAGATGAAGCCTTGGAGAACTGTCGAAAAGCTGAATTACTCATAAGCAGCAAAGTCCATGAGTGTTTGAAAAAGGATATGGATGACCTTGTTGTAAGTTGAACAATTTTCCGTTTATCTGCTGGTTCTTATTGTAGTCGTAAGATCGATTCATTCTTCTTAAAGGAAGTTAAATCTTTAAAGTAAGGTAGAACAGAATAAAAAAAAAATCTCTTTATTTGAGTGTCTAGTCGTTCTAGCACTTTTGCACTAATTGGGGACACTTTTCACTCACACGCACTACCACTACATTCAGTGTTCTATGCACACAACGCTCAACTCACATGTTGACTTTTATGGAGGGAGGAAACTGGAGAACCCAGAGAAAACCCTTGATCACATGTGGTGATCGCAAGGGTTCAAACCAGCGACCTGAACTGTAGGACTCACAGCAGTGAAAGAAGACGCGTCGTACGCCACCCATGCTAAGTTTTTTTTAACTTTGTGCGACCAAAATTTAATTAGTGCTTACTGTTATTTGTTTCCAACTTGCAGAGATCCAAGCAGTTGCATCAACCTTACTTTCATCAGCCTCTACAATGGCATCAAGGGATGTATGGCAACCAAGTGGCTCCTATGCTTGGAGAGGTAAGCATATCTTTTCTGCACCTCATGCATGCCACAGCCATTGTCTTATAGCCCACTTAAGCACATTCTTCACTCTTTGCTGAAAACAGTGTGAGCTAGCGAGTACTTTTTTCCTTGTAGCAAGTACTAGACTTGCAGAACGAAATGAAATTTTAAACTATTATAGCTTGCAGTGAGTACTTGCCCAGTTTTAGCCAGCAATACTCGGCAAGATGGTGGATTGGAGTGAGTAGCTTATTGAAATTGGCTATACAGTTGCAAGAAGGGGAAATTAACAGCAAGTAAATGAGTACTTGCTAGCTTGCTGTTTTCAGTAATGAGTGGAGAATGGCCTTTAGTCTGCTTACAGATCTAATTTCCACCAGCTGTTAAAAGATGCGTGCTATTATATTACATTTCTAGTGACTTGAAGTGATTATCTTGACCCCAAGAAACAAAATAAAAAAATTACTAGTCAATGTGTAATAGTCAAATACACTCGAAAGAAAACAATATAAGTAAATTATACATATAAAGTAATGAATGATGAAATAATAAATAAAAGAAAATATTCTTCTTCAACAACCATTTATGGGTTTGAATCCCATCTGGAGCTCAAATTTTTTCCCGAGTTGTTATTTTATATAGTTGTTAAAGAATACTTTCTTTCATTAAATCTATCTGCTAACCTCTATTACCAGTAATTTACTAACTGTTTGATGGGTAAGAGTAAAGGTAAGACTACATTTACCACTATAAATGTAACTACGTACAGTAACATGCCGTATAATCTTCTACAGACAACCTGATTGATAACATCTTTAGAGTAGATAAACCAATGTGTACTCCAGTCAGCCACATTAACAATATGTTATTTATTTTGTCTAGCCCCATAATAGTGGAGGTATGATGAACATGGCACAGTATCCTTACCCCAACACCTGTCCACCATTCCCACAGCTACAAACACAGGTAATTACTATCCTCCCTTTGCAACCGAGTTGGTACTAAATTCATAATACACTTAAGTGCAAAATGGCGCACAGCCGGGTAAAAACTAGGCATCCAGGGCCAAATTTACAGTATTTTCTTATAATTTGATGATGCCGCAAAATTGTTGTGTTCCTGAATGTAATGATGAAAGAAAGACAGCACAAGTAAACAAGTATATACAGTATTTTGCATTGACACCGTATTATTTCTTTACATTGAGACACCATATTATTTCTTTGTATTTTGATGGATGCCTCGTTTTCATGTAACTCACTTGGCCGTGCCCCATTTTGGACTAAGGTGTACGTATGGTGTACTCTGGTTTAGACCAGCACAGCGTTTTTTCAATCATTTGTTTTGATCTCTGTAGCCTCTTATACGTACACGGCTGGCCATCCCTCAGAAGTATGCTGGTGCTTTGATTGGTACTAAAGGTTCATTCTGTAACTACATGAAGAATTTAAGTTGTGCCACTAGAGTCCATGTTACTCCTGATGACAAGTCCGGAGAAAGATATGTGGAAATTGTAGGACACCCCTTTGCACAATATTTCGTAAGTACATAATTTGATCTTATGGAATAGAGTTTGTATGACTGTGAAAGAGAACGGCACACGGTACTGTAACGGAATCCGCACGAGATCACTGCTCATCCAATGGCATTGTTTGGACATGGCACCGTCGCGATTACTGCACCGCACGTCCATACCGTAATGTAGTGGGTAGGGCCGATGCTACTTTTAAAAAAAGACACGATATAAAATTGTTTTCAAAAACTGCAGTTTCTAAAACTTTACTAATGTTTTTCCTTCCTTAGGCCCAACACTGTGTTTATTGCAAACTCGCTGAAGAAGGCTATAGTAATTCTGATGGTGAACTTAAGCTTCGAGCAGAAGTTACTATTCCAACCAAAGGAACTGCTCGAACGAACAAGGATCAGCAAACTAATATAGTTGGGCGAATTATAGGAAAAAGAGGACAAAATGTAAGGAGAATTGTTGTCGTTATTGTCGAGAGATAATTTAGTGCGGCATTTTTTCCTCATTAACGTGAAATGTTTGAATAACAGGTTAAAGGACTAGAAAAAGAAACTAGAACATATGTGAAAGTAGCAACAGTGGAAGATCAAGATGGCGAACCAAAAGAAGCAATCGTGCAGATCGTAGGAAGTTTTGCTAGCAGTCAGGTACGTCGTTTTCAATACATTAATCACACTGCCCAAGAAGCGCAAACGTCGTGTCTTTATATTACAATAAATGTAGTTGTCTTACAAATCAAAATCTTTTTACTTGTTATAAGAGTGCATACCATATATCAGTGAAAAAGTTAACTAACAAAATTGTACGAATTAGTGCAAAGTTTTGTAGGTCTACCGAGGTCTACTGAACTTACTAATTTTGTGCAATTCCTTACAAATTTTTTTCAAGAATATATGGTATGCATTCTAGTGACAGCAGCAGAACATAGGGTTACAGTGGTCTGAACAGACCAAAATTGTCATCTAATTGCCAATAATTTGGCGCGCAGTTTCAGGTTAAAGTCTCAATGCAAACTGTCATCGTGGTCTTTATTCCCAAAACGTTTTATTGAGTCATTTTGAATGTTCACCCTTCAGAAATAACGTCACGTTAGAAAAATATCGGTACAGAGGCCGGTAGGAGTTAAACATTGTCTGCATCTTTGACACCAAGTAATGTTATTTTTATTGCAGCACGCGCAATTTAGAATCAATGAAATCGTAAGCCAGTGTCAACAAGGAACCTCTAGTGGATCAAATTCCCCTCAACCAGGAATGGTTAGTCATCCACCAGGAGGGAAAAGGCCACCACAAATGAGCTGAAATCCAGGCACTCAAATCATTGTGAAAACTGACGTCCAGCCACTTCACTAGAGTTCTGCTATGGGTTTTGCTAGTCTATAGCTATTCTTTGTCTTACTATTCTAATTTGTCAGTTATATGACCTGTAATCCTTAATCACGTTTAGCAGGCACCTAATGGGTGTCTGTATGCTTACTATTTGTGGAATAATTATAATCCAGTTCAGTTTCACATATCCGCACCTTTTGGCAAAAAAAAAAAAACCTCTATGGCTGCAACCATCTACCTCTTTTTTTTCATGGATTAGACACATTTAAATCTGGCGGTACTTCTGGTACTGATCAATTTAGTTTTGAAACAGAATTAATTTCGTATGGCTGTGAAAACTTACTGATTTGCTGTGCCGTGACCGTGACGGTCATGCATAAAGCATTTGATTGGTCGAGCATTAATTTCCCGCGCTGTAAGTGGTCCATTCCGTACCTTGACAGAGTCTTGTCGTGCCTTTCATAGTCATACGAAGTCTACCCTATGGAATGTCCTAGAGATATTCGTAGTAGTTATGATTAGATATCACTGTAAGTAACCTCTACGGGACGAGCACAACTGATGCTATCATATTTTTATTTACAGTGATGATTAGGTGACTTACAGTCTTTAAACAAGAGCACAGTCAATCAATGAACTGGTTCGGTGTCTAGGCCAATAGTCTTGTGGTATTTGTCGTTTTATGGCATTGGCTGCATTGCTTCTGCTGCCTTTTACCTATGTCTCATCGTTCTGAGAGTATATTTGTTAGGATAGAAAAGCTTGAGGTGCTGTCATGCAGTAGTGTTTATAGTGGTTATTACGTGAGGGTTGATGTATTTTATTGATGTCAAGAAATCGCAGCACTCCTTTCATGCCAGCCTGCTGCTCATTGTATGTCTTGCCTCTCTGAATTATCCATACGTATATTTGAGGGATCGCATTATCCAATGTACGTCAAATTTTAGCGGAAAAATTGATCGCGATTTAATTTCTCTTCCGTTTTTGACAATAAGTATTTTTATCAGTAAAGTAGAGAGAAGATCGTTGGGATCGGAGCATGAGATTAGAGAAAATATGGGCCCCCAGGACATAGAACACAACTGAGTTTAGAAAAGGAAATATTGACAAATTGTATTACAGGAACGCTCGAGACTAGCCTCAGTCACCTAAGTATATTTTTGGAATGGGTTCAGGTTTTTAGTAGTCACTTGGTTTTTTGTGTGATTTAGTATAATTATTTAGTTCCGTACACAGTATTTTTGATTTGAAATTTAGATCCACCTAATCAGATAAACTAGAAAATTCTGAAAATTAAGAAATCATGGGTTCCGGATGAAGTTCTGCTCGTGTTTCCATGGTGACGTGAGTTGGACTCGGGTTACCATGGCTTAGCGAAAGAAAAATCAAGATTCAAATCAAAATGACTGTATTTGCAGTGAGTTCAATTAATCACTATATTATAACTTTTTAATCAAAGTTTAAATCCAAGCTTGAACTAGTTGCACCCTCAATTAGTTTTTTTGCCAACAGTTGAGCTTGCAACAGTTCAGTCCACATATTTAATTAATACTTTACGAGACTATTTTCATTGTATGTCATATCCCATGCTTCTTTCCCTTACTTCAGTAACCAAATCATGACCCTTGCGGACTTGGTAAAAGCCAACAGTATTGAATTATATTTTTCTTTTCTAATAGATATATTATTAGTTTCATGCATGGCTTTTTACATGTGCACAAGGCACTATGGTTTGTCTCTTTTTATTCCATGATTACAAGTGGAACAGCATGTTGACTCTGAATTTGTCTCAAACCCCTTATTCAACAACATTTTAGTTTCTTGTATCTATCTACACCATTATTCAATATTTGTTTTTGTTATTTTTCGGGTTCACGCCATCCTCCGCAAATATGCGTCTCTTCACTCGTTTGTAATCCGGCAATCACCACAAGATCATTGCGCAAACAACTTTTATGTAGTACTTATACTAGAAATAGCATGGTGTGGCTGTAGAGATCCTTAAAAGTGTTGTACAGTGAGACATTTGTGGTCGCCTGGTACGCCATTTGTACAGTGCTACGGAATGGATGTTATAGCCCATATTTTTTCTGATAATTAAATTATTACATACAATTGTTGTTTTGGATTTCTTGCAATTTCTTTTAACCATTATCTCACTTTTTCCAAAGAGTTAGGAAAAATCTTTGGCATTCCTTTTGCGGTGGGGGAGAAATATTCATTCTCGTTCTTTCAGTCTCTAGGATTAATCAAAAATGAAGACCCTCTCTTCAGAAGACCCTAACCTAGATTTTTTCACTTTATATCTGCATGGCAGTGATCTTTAATGAAAAAAGGCGTCGCACAGTTACTAAGAAATTTAAACTTTGATTGTTAACAGTTCTCGTAGCAGATTAAAAGTCAGTCTGAATTGTTTTAACGTTTATTTATTTCTTTGAAACATGTCCAGTCTTCAAAATAATCAAAAAAAGAAATGTACAAAGGCTATCATTAATACTAGTTGGCATAGTAGTGTTAGAGTTCTCTCAGTGATTTATTATTTGTTATGAAAAGCTTACTAATGACTTGTAATGGCTTATTTAAAAGCACTTAAATATTGAAAATGACAGCAGACATGACAGATGTCTAATTCATCAGAAAATTCACTGTGATTAACATATGTGAATATTTGCATACAATAGACGACCGAACTATCCAATGAAAACGCGCCGTGTTTTGTTTGGATGGAAATGTTTTGCACGTGTACCGGATAGGTTTCGCTTCTCGTTTATTGCATCAGAAAAAACTTTTCCTGTGCACGAGTAGTTATCGCTGGAAGAGGACAAAAAAATACCGAATTTTGTGGTAAGTTTTGATCCTAATTTGATCTTTATATACTGTATATCGTATTCTTATATTAAAGCATTAGTCACCTTAGGTTGATATTTCGATCGAACATTTTAGCTATGTACAAAATTTAAGAAAACTTTTGCTTATAAACTAAGGACAAAACGGCTTTCTTCATTGTACATGTCTATGTACTCTTTACAAATTAGTTTTTGGATATGTTTTGGGTTTTTTTATCGACAGTTAAAGTAATAGCAGTTCGTAATACTATCTGGTTGAATTGTGTTTTATATATAAAAGGCGTAAAAACGATTTTGAGAGAAGGTTGTTTCCATAGTAAATATACAAACACGTTATATGCATAAAAGCGATGATCAAGACTTAATAAAGCCTTAATCTTTATATGTGTTTTATTAAGAATAACAGAGTAAGATTTAATTAAGATTATTTAGAAGAATTATTTTTTTAGTACAAAAATTCTCCTAAAAATGTCTGTTGTGTCGATTTGTAGCAGTGAGGGAAATGGGAGGATTACCGTATTCACGTCTCTTGAATATGTGCGCATATTTAATTGATTCATCAAAACGAGGCTAAGCCTGCAGGCTTCGAATAGAGTACTCAAGTGATGACGTCACAAAAATTAATTTTCGCTTGATCATATTTTTGGTTAACAAATTCAATAGACAAACATTTGGAACCGAGCCGAAAATACAGTGATTTGTATGGAGTAATTATATATTTTCACCTACAACTATTGTATACAACATGCACGCGTCTGTTGTAGGCGAGTTGTAGGCTTGATTTACACACTAGTTGTAGGATTATCTGTGCCAGTATTGTTTTGTATATTGAATGATTATTTCTCATACATCACAGCATTAGCATATGACATGGAAAAACCTTTATAAATTCAAGAAGCTGCACTCAAACTATATTTTTTTTCCGGATTATTCAACATCTTACCTCATAAAGAATCAATACTGTGAATATTGTCAGAAGGGTGATAGGCACTTTAACAAGAGAAACATTCCATGTCCTTGAGACTTAAGTTATACTGGAGAAGTGAAGCTCCTTGTCAATGCTCTGTAAAGTGCATCTCATGGGGAAGGGCTGTCTTGGGTCCCTGAGACAACTTCTTTTCATATAAATAAGGCCTAAGGATGGAGATTTGACTTTTATCAGTTGTTTCATTCAACCTGGGGCTTAATATTGATAGGTGCATAAGCCATCCAGGATTAGTGGTAGATCCAGGGGGGTAGGGTCAGGAGGTTTGGACCTACCTACCATACCTGAGGTTCAATTGAGTTTTTTATTCTTGATTTTAGTTTTTCTGCATGATTGCAGTAGAATTTGTATTTTTGTTGGAATGTATTTTTAATATGTAATGAGGAGGATAGACGTGAGTGCTTGTAAAAAGGTCCAAAACAGGTTTTGCTTAGTATAGCACTAGTTGCTGTGAGATAATGTATTGCCATTAATTTGCTGACCAGAGATTGATTTGCTGTTAAAACAAAGTAACATGAACCTCTAGGGTGTTTTTAAGGCAATGATGATGATGATGATGATAATAATAATAATAATAATGATAATGGGAAGTTCTTATATAGCACATTTATACAATGTATCAATGTAGCTTACAATCATGAGTGAAATTAGTACATTAGTGTTATGCCTCCAGGTTGGGATAGGCTGTTGAACTGGGAGACAATCCCCTACTCTTACATGAATAATTCAACACGTTCTTTTATGTCCCCCATTTTACTGCAGGTTAGGAAGGGTTGGAAGACAGGGCCTACAGTTGAAAGTCCTTATTCGAGTAGACTTGAAGGTCTAGCCATTTGCAGATATTATTACAAAGGCAGCACCTCCTCAGTTTTTTTTTAGACCCTGAGTGTTGGTCTGGCCAAGGCTTGTACCATGACCTTCCACAAAACAGACTGACACTCGTGTCAACTGAGCTACCCTAAGACACCTGAGATTACATGATGACAGTCAGAATTGGCAGTTAAATTCACTCAGCTGACTGTCACTCGGCACTCCAAGATAATTTATATCTTTTAGGGATGAAGATCATTAGTTGCCACGCCCAACTGGGCAGGACTCAGGTACTTATGGGTTATTTTCAAAATTTCCAACAAGCATCTCCACCCTTCTATATAACAGGAGTAAAACATGAAGTTGGAAAAGGGACAATTCAATATAGAGGCCCAGTTATTTGGAACTTTATGAACAGAATTGTTAATTT